GTAAGTACGGATTTACGTAACGTAACAGTTCTTGTAATAAAATGTCAGGATTAACATCTCTCTCAGGCTTTGAAATTAACATCAGTGTGATTCTTGATAATTTTGCCGGTAAATTATTTGTTAACAGTAACATATGTTGCAAGATTCGTCCAATTATGACAAATTTGTCTATTTCGTTTAGTTTGCTTAGCTCCAAGTATGGAACTAAACAGTCTTCGCCTCGAAAAAATATACTCTCACATTTAATAAAAAAAATATTAAACAATTCCTTGGTAAGACCGCCTCCATCAAGACCTAGCTCTCCAAGAAAAGTAACTTGCAAATTTTTGTTAACTATTTCTTCATCCATGTATAGATTCATTAAATCATGAAAACAGTGACTCCTTGATATCTTGATTTTGATTGCTTCAGCATCTTCTGGAAGGGACGGGAATACTATACATTTCTCCACATTAACAGTTTCCTCTTTGGTACCTTAAATTAATTATTTATTATTGTTTTTTAAAATCAAATAGTCAAACACAAAATAAATATTGATAATTTTTTTAAACAGTTTTTATCTCTATTTTCTTTGTGAGAAAAACCTACATTACTTATATTATTAAAAGATATATAATTTTCTTTACATACTTAATTGACCATCTTCCTCTTCCTCTTCCTCTTCCTCTTCATCAAAATTATAGTTCTCCATGGTTCGACATTGTATTGTTGTTGATCTTGACGGACGTGTAATTGTTGAGCGTTGTGATGCAGTTGAAAAGTTATTCAACGAAATTTGCCCTGGTTCCAAATAATCAGGATCATTATCTTCCTGACGTATATGAATTGAGGATTCTACAGGATTACTTGTTGATGCTTGAGAAGAAGAACAATCGTGTTCTACAAGAGGCAGATCATTTGGAAAATCATTCAGAGGCAATATGACAATTTTGCTTTGCACTAATTTATTTTCCAAATCTGTTCCATCTCGGATATCTTTTAAGAGAGTGATTTGCTTTGATCTTTCTATTTTTCCCAATTGAAAGCCACACATTCTTAACAAATGTTGAATATGAGGTTGAAAAGATGAAATGATATCTGCCTTTATTTCGTCGAATGAAGAATTTCTTGCTATTTCGAGTGGCTCTTCGGATAAACCTGTATAGATAAAAAATTTCTTAACACAATAATTATCTCTTATAAATCAAATATAATTCAATAAATAAACCATACCTAATCCTCTCTGTTTTAAATATTTTAATTCTGCATTAGTTGGAAAAAAATCGGCATGTGCTAATTTCATCAAAACTAATTTCCTCTTGAAAGATGTTTTTCTCTTTCTGCCTTTTCGTGGACTAGGTGTAAGATTCCTTCTAAAATTTCTTCGGGTAGCCTGCACCAAGGTTGAAAAGTCCTGTTCCTCTTGCGTTGATTTATTAGCTGCATTAGCTGCTATCGTCAGCAAACGATTAGCAATTTCCCTTTCGTTGGACATTTTAACCTAAATTTTCCACAAAGTTTATTCTGCAAGCAACGTTATTTTCAAAATTACGCAAACACGCGGCAAAGTCACATGTATGTATGTGATTTACATACTTTATGGGGACGGTTTCATGGACCGTTATTTTCCAACCAATCAGAAGCGTAACATCGTAGCATCGAAATTTACTAGTCACAGCCAAATCAATTTCGATGCTAAGGTGCTACGATACGACCAATGTAGAACCGGCCTTACGCGTATTTACACTTCTGATTGGTTGGAAAATATCGGTCCATGAGACCGCCCCCATAAAGTATGTACATGTGACTTTGCCGCGTGTTTGCGTAATTTTGAAAATAACGTTGCTTGCAGAATAAGCTTTGTGGAAAATTTAGGTTAAAATGTCCAACGAAAGGGAAATTGCTAATCGTTTGCTGACGATAGCAGCTAATGCAGCTAATAAATCAACGCAAGAGGAACAGGACTTTTCAACCTTGGTGCAGGCTACCCGAAGAAATTTTAGAAGGGATCTTACACCTAGTCCACGGAAAGGCAGAAAGAGAAAAACATCTTTCAAGAGAACATTGGTTTTGATGAAATTAGCACATGCCGATTTTTTTCCAACTAATGCAGAATTAAAATATTTAAAACAGAGAGGATTAGGTATGGTTTATTTATTGAATTATATTTGATTTATAAGAGATAATTATTGTGTTAAGAAATTTTTTATCTATACAGGTTTATCCGAAGAGCCACTCGAAATAGCAAGAAATTCTTCATTCGACGAAATAAAGGCAGATATCATTTCATCTTTTCAACCTCATATTCAACATTTGTTAAGAATGTGTGGCTTTCAATTGGGAAAAATAGAAAGATCAAAGCAAATCACTCTCTTAAAAGATATCCGAGATGGAACAGATTTGGAAAATAAATTAGTGCAAAGCAAAATTGTCATATTGCCTCTGAATGATTTTCCAAATGATCTGCCTCTTGTAGAACACGATTGTTCTTCTTCTCAAGCATCAACAAGTAATCCTGTAGAATCCTCAATTCATATACGTCAGGAAGATAATGATCCTGATTATTTGGAACCAGGGCAAATTTCGTTGAATAACTTTTCAACTGCATCACAACGCTCAACAATTACACGTCCGTCAAGATCAACAACAATACAATGTCGAACCATGGAGAACTATAATTTTGATGAAGAGGAAGAGGAAGAGGAAGAGGAAGATGGTCAATTAAGTATGTAAAGAAAATTATATATCTTTTAATAATATAAGTAATGTAGGTTCTTCTCACAAAGAAAATAGAGATAAAAACTGTTTAAAAAAATTATCAATATTTATTTTGTGTTTGACTATTTGATTTTAAAAAACAATAATAAATAATTAATTTAAGGTACCAAAGAGGAAACTGTTAATGTGGAGAAATGTATAGTATTCCCGTCCCTTCCAGAAGATGCTGAAGCAATCAAAATCGAGATATCAAGGAGTCACTGTTTTCATGATTTAATGAATCTATACATGGATGAAGAAATAGTTAACAAAAATTTGCAAGTTACTTTTCTTGGAGAGCTAGGTCTTGATGGAGGCGGTCTTACCAAGGAATTGTTTAATATTTTTTTTATTAAATGTGAGAGTATATTTTTTCGAGGCGAAGACTGTTTAGTTCCATACTTGGAGCTAAGCAAACTAAATGAAATAGACAAATTTGTCATAATTGGACGAATCTTGCAACATATGTTACTGTTAACAAATAATTTACCGGCAAAATTATCAAGAATCACACTGATGTTAATTTCAAAGCCTGAGAGAGATGTTAATCCTGACATTTTATTACAAGAACTGTTACGTTACGTAAATCCGTACTTACGAAAAATTTTAAAAAAAGCTTTGAAAAATTTTACGTCTTTAACTGAGAAGGAAAATGAGACCGTTCAGGACTTTTTTCAAACAAATCGATTTTTTGCGAGACCAAGTTCCGAGACATTGTCAGAACAATTAAGAATTATAGCTACAGAAATTTTTATAGAGAAACCTAAAAAACTGATTTTAAAAATTCGGGAAGGTGTATCACCAGCAAAATATGCTGATTTCTGGAATTATTGCGACTTTGACGTTCTCTTGGATATGCAGACCCTTACTGCTACAAAAATCGTTAATTGCTTGGTAACTGATTGTCATCTAACAAATGAAGAAAATGATATATTACATTATTTTACCATGTACATTCACTGTCTTGACAAAGATAAATTGAAAGGTTTAATATTCTTAATTACTGGGTCTTTCCTTATGCCAATGCATATTGATGTAAAATTCAATGACACAGTGGGATTAAGTCAAAGACCCATGTTTAGTACATGTACTAATACGATAACGTTACCAAAAACATATGCAAATTACGATGACTTGAAGAATGACTTGAATATGTGTTTAAATTCCGAGGAAGTTATGGAGTATACGATGTATTAATCATACTGCATGACTTCCTCGGTATACAAACATATGCACGCGCATGTGTGTGCATATGTGAGAGAGATTTCGAATACTACAATATAATATTAATTACTTCATTATAATATTAATTACTTCATACATGTACATGCATAATTCTAAAGTGTAAAAAATTATACACACATAATTTTGAGATGCAAAAAAGTCTATTTTGATTTTTGTTCAGTGAGTTTTATTTCATTACAATATTAAAAAGTAAATAGGTTTACAATGGTTCTAACAAGTGTTCCTATTGTAATAGCAGATTAAATATGTAGTTTTTGTTAAATCACCAAGACTTACTTATTAGAGTAGACGTACTTAATTATTAATGAATAATTTTATATAAAAAAATAAATTTATTTTCGAAGTAAGAAAAAAAAATTTTTATTTATTTAACCTCTCATCGTATTTTACCGTGATAATTTATTATAGTAAAGTGTATAATTACTTAAAGTGTTACTATTAATTAACTTAATATTAATAAAATAATATTAATTAGTGTATTAAGAACTTAATAAATTTACACATAGCATATATTTTTCTTTATTACATTTTTCTTCCAAACTAATAATATTCTCCAGCTGCAATTTTTGTTCTTTACTTATTTGTAATGTCGCGGTAAAAGACGAAAAGGGAATACTCGTGTTGCTATTTACAACAGAAACGGAAAGATCGACTCCTAAAGCTTGTAAGGAATCCGAAAGTTTTTCATATAACGTCATATTATCGGTATCGAAAATATCACGCACTGCTGTAGAAGTCATATTGTAATTTTACAATATTCCATTCAACCACAGTTGCCGTGGAGACTTATTATTTTCCATTCTTAAACCATGAACATTCCATGCAGATTGGAATGATGATAGCTTTTTATTAATAACATTTTTATAAATATATTGTACACAAAATCTGTGCGTGTTGTTTTCAATATCTAATAAACCTTGATCTTCTAAAGAATACAATTCAGTATAAATAGAATCACATACTTCTTTAAAGACATCGACCCATAATCGTTCAATTCTTTGATTATGAACCGATTTGCC